CGGCTTTTGCTTTACTTATTAAACTGTCTTTATCTCAACCCACGAGTTTCCTCACTTTTACCCTTCCGATTCTCTCCTCCATCCCGCTGCAGGGGGAGTGAGCAAGCAGCTGTGTGGGGCTTAGTTGCTGGCTGGGGTTAAACTACGACACCAGCATAAATACTGAGTGTAATCCCGCAAGTGCTGCTCTGTGTACCATGGATATGCCTGTCCAGAGGTGTTTCTGTGAATCTGTTCTGTGCACCTCTGCTTGCTCAGCTCTGTTGCATGTCTTTGTAGACTCTGCTCCACCTTTCTGCAACCGAATGTAGAATAAGCCATCAGCCATGAGCAAAGAGCACAGTCTACAGCAGAGGGAAAGTTCACCAGGGCCACTGTTCAGGCTGTGAGCTTCTTTCTTGTGTCCCTTTCAGTCTGGCCAAGCCTACCCAGAGCGACAGACTCCCTTCCTGTTAACAGTGCATTTCACTCTCCAGTGCCCAGGCTGGCCGCATCGGAGCTGCAGGCTCTGAGGGAAGTGGGAACAAAGAGCCTCAAACCCATTCCCAGGAGCCAGGCAGGAATGGTTCGAAAGCACGGGGCAGAGTGGAGTACGGAGACACTGTGTCTCTACAGCTGGGAAAGGCTCTTCTAATCATCTCCAGCTCCCTGCTGGAGATGGATCTATTCCATCTGCTGGATGGAGCTATTCATCCTCACAGCACTCTACCACAATTATTTCCATTTTACAAAAGCTGATTTTTAGTAGGGCGCTTGTAACCTCCTCAAACAAGACACCAGTGAAGGCAGGTGTCTTGGAGCTCGCAGACCACTCCCTATAGTGCCCTCCAAAGCCAGCTGCATATCAATACCCTACTGGGCTTTCCCAACAAAAGACCTCCAGCCAAGTCTCCTGTGCATGTAAAGACCCTAGGCAGTTGTGCGAGTAGCACAGCTACAAGACCCAGACACTATCTGCCCTATAGGGCTCCTCCCCCACACCTCACTGGGAAAAGCCCTGCTGTTTGAAGAGCCACTGTGAATTTGCAGCTGCTCCAAAACAGCCATAGCCTCATCCCATCATGGGATTCTTCCAGCAACCGAAACCCAGATGGGGGGTGGCGGTGGTGACACCCATCCCAGACACAGAAGCTGTGCCGCCCTCCTACCTCAATGCAGAGGCAGGTTGGCTCTCCCTTCTCTGTCACTGCACACTCCCGCCCAGCTCCACAGAAAACATTGGCACAGATCTTGGATTTGCTCCTTGGTTCTTCCTGCAAGATACAAAGTAAAAGACACAAAATACATCAAGTTACCCGGAAGAGCAGCAAACACAGCTTTAAAAAATAACACATTTAACCTCTAGACTGGACCACAGAGCACCAAGGTGGTACGGCACAGATTACAGCTTGCCTGACATGACTGCAATAGATGGACAGCCCAGACAATAACCAGGATCAGACACAAGAGCTAGGGCTACAGCCCCAGCAATAGAGAGCTTCCTTGAGGTTATTCCTGGAAAATCACCTAGAAGAGCTGGAGCAAACATGACCAAGAGAAAGCCTAGCACGAATGGCAAGAATAATTCGCTCATGTCAAGGACTGCCATCTTCAAAATTTTTTTCGTTGAGGGTAGGGAGCAGAAATGTATTTGCTTGAGACATTTAAGAAGGTGGTGAATATAACCCTGGAGAAAGGTGTGATACCAAACAGACAGAAGAAATCGCCATCAGGCACCAGATAATGCCCCTGTCACAAAAAAACTTCACAAAACTACAAGACCCATTATCTTGCCTCCAGTGGTCAAGATTATACACTTCAAAGGAAGAAACACTGTCATAGATAATTATACAGTAACCTTCTCAGAGAAAATTTCTTCCTGGTCCCTGACAGCCAGCAGTTGACTTATGCCCTGCAGCACAATTTATACGCTTTACAGTTTTCTCCCAGCTAAAGTAATCACAAGTATTCTTGTTGTTCATGTAACTGTTGAATCCTTTTTTTCTGAGTCCCACTGCGTTCCCAAACTGGTGACACCTAGCAGGGAAGACGACTTCCACAGGTTAATCACGCTTTCAATAAAACCACCATTTACTTTTATCAGTTTAATGTCTTTTTTTTTTTTTTTTAAAGACTTTTAAAAGAGAAGACTGTTCCAGGGGTTCAGACTTTGGAGACCCTGGTTTAATTCCCTACTTTGTCATTAATTTCCTTTGTGACTCTCATTTCATCTAACATTTTCCACCTGGAAGTTAAGTATCTGGCTCAGGCTCACCAACTGGCTTCCTCAATAGTTTTGTATCAGAGACAGAAGATTGAGGAATGTAAAATAATCAGTGGGATAGGCTGTGACTCCTCTCTAATAGACAAAGGTTTTTTTACCTTCTCATCTGAGTATTATTTGTAACCTCTTCTCATTTGTGGTATCTTTGTACCTCCATCATATACTTTTGAAAGTAGGTGATCAAAAAGGAGCAGAATTTGCCTGAGGAGCAAGCATTATTGATACATTTAATAACAAATGCTGAGCACATTTTTTCTCCTATTGCTTCTTTATCCTAATTTTCTTCTTTTTGTTTTGCTTTTAAACCAAAATTTCACAGTGAATTGTTGTCTTTACTTAACAGCCCACAGTGACAGCCAGATCATTTTCCGAATGACTTTGCCCCTGTCTTCAGAATATTTTGTCTGCTGGCCTACTGCACAGTCATCAAGCCCAAGAAGGTCTTTTCAAAGCATTGCAGGATTCCCTCCAGGTTTGCACAGCGACAAACACCTTTCCTACTCTCTGCAAATGTTCCTATCCTGTAAAATAAAAATATAGCATTCAGACACACCAGTCTTAGCTCAGAAACATACACCGTGTCTCAGGCCCGCTCACCCCATGAAGACAGTCTGTTATCCTCCCTCTGCCCCTTCGTCCTCCTGTCACATATCGTTTCTGAGCTATGAAAGACACTTTGCCCCTTCTGCTGCATTCACCTCTCCTTAGCTGCCTTCTGGTGGAGGGCTGGGGTACATTATCTAGGCGCTTCTGGGGTGGGATGGAGCAACATGAGTGCTTCACTGCACAAAGCAACAGGCTGGAGTCTGGGTAGGGCACTCCTACACCTAAAATGCACTGTAGGCACCTAAGTGCTGATCTATTTAAAGGGTTTCAAACAACGCGCCCACCCCTTCACCAAACCAAAGACCAGGAAAAAAAAAGCTAGACACGGCTTTGAACCGCCACCCACCAAGGTCTGTAATCTCGGTGCCTGGCAATAGATGGCAGTACTCTGCCTCTCCTTACCCATGGCCAGGCAGGACTGCCAGCAGCAGGCTCCCGGCCATGCCCACCAATGCCAAACCTGGCTCTTGCCTCCTGAGCTGAGATTGCACTGCTGTAACCGCAGCCGGCCTCGGCAGGCGTCCACAGGGACCGAGCTCGAGTTGCAAGACCCCTCTCCCCTCACCAGCTCGCTGGAAACCAGGCCTGCGACGCGGCTGTCCTGGCCACAGCTCCCTCCCCTGTAGCGCCGGAGCCCAGGAGCCATCCCACAGCTCTCCTACTGGGACCTGGGGCGGGGATGCTGTCAGGGTGACACCGCCAGAACAGCCTCTGAGGACAACCTGCCTCCTGCCAGGCTAGAGAGCCATGATATTCTAATTTTTCTTATTAATCAAAGCAAGACAGTTTGGTGGTTGCTGCTTTGTTGTTAAGCTGTCCTAGGCTGGCAGTGGGTTGGAGCTGGTTGCCACATCCCAGCACGGCTGTCTCCACCCCAGGGGTTTGACAGAGAAAGAAAGAAATCAAGCTACTCTGCCTGCCTGCCCTCTCACTCTGGCACAGGGTTTCTCAGACTCAGCTTGCTCATCCTCCCTCCAGCAAGACAGTTTGGTGGTTGCTGCTTTGTTGTTAAGCTGTCCTAGGCTGGCAGTGGGTTGGAGCTGGTTGCCACATCCCAGCACGGCTGTCTCCACCCCAGGGGTTTGACAGAGAAAGAAAGAAATCAAGCTACTCTGCCTGCCTGCCCTCTCACTCTGGCACAGGGTTTCTCAGACTCAGCTTGCTCATCCTCCCTCCTGGCAGCAGCGGCCACGGCAGGAGCTACCAGGCTGGGTGCTGGCTCCACCTTTAGTGAAAGCAGCTCTCAGCTTCCTCCCCAGTTCCCAGAGCAGTAACTCAGCCCCCTGTGCCCCCCATCCTTGCAGTGCTCACCCCACAAACTGTACTTTTTCCATCGACAACCTACAAACCATAGCCTCTTCTACTCGTATGCACACACACACCCCCCCCCAACTCCCCAAGAACCTCACCTCCTTTCATCACCAGACATCGCCTCTCCTAGCCTACATCTACCCACCTTGCACCTGCAACCTGACCCACTGCGGCTGCTTCACAGGTCAAGGTGCGCTCCTCTGCCAGGCACTAGCAGCTGCTACTGCAGATCCTGCCTTCACCTCCTGCAAGAGCCAGAAAACACTTTCCTCTGACAGCCTGCACACAGATGAAGTTAGCAGTTGCCACCACTACTGCTTGGTATCGCCACACGGCTCTGAGGTGGTTCACAGCATACTGCAGGGTGGGAGCTCCCTGCTCTAGCAGCTCCCGGCCACCTTCCCAGCAAATGCCTGAATCTCCTGTGCGTAACTGGGAGTGTAATGGAGGCGGCGATGGATGAATGGAAGAGTACAGTGGGGGTCTGCGAATCAGGCTTTATAATCTTCAATCCTGATTCTCTGGCTACCTCCCAGATGCTACCAGCCCAACTAGCTTCTTGTGATAGCTATTCTGATCCTAGCTTGGACCTTGTCATGTTTGTTCTTTATAAAGCTCCATCTGCTGGAGTCATATGAGTAAGCGGGGATGTCAGCTGCCACTTCCATATTGAATAGCTTGTCCTTGCACCTGCCATGTAAAAGCTTGAAAATGTGAACTGCAAAAGTTTAAATGCCAGGTCATCAAAAAAACCCCCCAAAACACTCCACAGTATATTATGTGTTTAAATGCCATCGCTCTTAAATTGATTTCAGGATTTTGGGGGCTGGAATCACGTTTTTTACACTGCTTCCTCCCTGCAAGCTGCCATTGCCTTTTCTGTCACTGTGGGCTTGGGAAGTGTCACTTGTCCCTGTGCACAGTGTGCTCGGGCAGGCGGAAGGGAAAGGGCAGAGAATCGTTATTAATTGCTGCATGGTGGCATTTACACTGCAAGCCGTGACAAGGCAGTTCCCCTATTCTGCCTCGGGTGAGAAGCCCAAGCTCTCTCCGTTTGGGCAATGCTTTTAATTACTCCTTTGCCACCCAGAGAGCAAGTGGGAAGGCGGTGGGCATGAAGCCAGGGCAGGAGCGCCTGGACTCCAAGGATCTGCCACGGCACAGGGACACTCCTGACTCTTCACCCCGTGGCCTCTGCAGAGGCACAACCTCCTCAGACATCTTCTCAGGCAAAGACCACGGAGAAAGCTGTTTGCTATGGCTCATGGGCCAGAAACTCAGGGCAGCCAGGCAGCGTCACGTACACATAGCCCAGACTGTCTGCCGACTGGGGATGGGAACGCATGCTGCTTTCGGGGGGCTGGGAAGTGTAACCCCATGGATGAAGGGTTCTTGCATACAAACAGGCAAGCGCCAAGCAGAAGACCTGAACTGACAGTGCAGCGAGCCACATGCAATGCTTCTGCCTCAGCTGTTGCTTCCTGGGGAGGAAGGAGGAAAAAGAGACATTCCCAAAGCACCCTCGGTCGAGAAAGCCGGAGGCAGTGCCGGCGGTGAGGGATCACCATGGCAACCGGCAATGCGGGGCCTCAAGGTGGAAAGCTAAAATTAGGCAGCAGGAAGGGCTGTTTCTCATCTCTAGCACCAATCAGCACTGAGGAGTCGGACCCCCAACACAGCGTAAGCACAGATGTCGGGAGCACTTCCGAGCCCCTGCCTGAGCCTGGATGTCCGGGACTGAGCGTGGCTCGATGCGCCGACACACTGCCAACGTGCAGGTCTGCATGGGGTCCCAAGGTCCTACGAGCGGCCATGCCTGCTCCAGGCTGGTGGGACTGCATGAAAACAGTGCAGTGCCTGCAGCAAGATATATGGAAGACCGCACGCACAAAGGAAAAGAGCCATCATGGCTCCTTGGCTTTGCAAGGGAGCCTGCTCGTTGCAGCTCTCCCTTGGCCGCTCCCTCCCCTGGCCTGTGCTGAGCCCACGGTGCCCCACTGCCCAAAGGGAGCAGCAGGGATTTCTGCCATTACGCATGCTCTGGGAAACCAGCAGGGAGACCACCTTGCCACAAGGTGGGGAGTTAACGTGCTTGAAAACAACCCCTCAGATTGCTTTTTGCTTTCTGCATGTCCTTCCATACAAAATCTCCTCTTGAAGATCTCAGAAGTCTCTTTCTCAGCAGCCCATGCTGCACACTGGAGAAATACTACCTGCTGTCCTGCTCCTACTGACCCGAGCAAAAAGCTTTTCTGCTATCAGCAGTGACTGCAGGTCTTTTTCCTCTTATGGCATCAGTTTGCGGAAATCCGTAAAATGACTTGACCCCTCATATAATGCTCTGTGCTGTTTGCTGTAAAATCAAGGCTTTGCATTTTTGCCCTGCCTGATGTGCAAGGAAATCGAAGTGCTCTAGAGCTGTAGTACTGAA